GGGGCCCTGCCCGCACCCTGCACCCCAAATCCCAGGGCCCTGCCTGTACCCCAAATCCCAGGGCTCTGCCCGCACCCTAAATCCCAGGGCCCTGCCTGCACCCCACACCCCAAATCCTGGGACCCTGCCCACACCCTCCACCCCAAAACAGGGTGTTGCCCGCACCCTGCACCCCAAATCCCAGGGCCCTGCCTGCACCCCAAAACAGGGTGCTACCCACACCCTGCACCCCAAAACAGGGTGCTACCCACACCCTGCACCCCAAATCCCAGGGTCCTGCCTGCACCCTCAATCCCAGCGCCCTGACCCCCAAATCCCGGGGCCCTGCCCGCACCCCAAATCCCAGCACCCAGCACCCTGCCTGACCCCAGCACCCCTCATTTTGGGGGGGTGTGTGTGTGTGAGGAAGATGTGGGGGTACAGAGGGGGTGCAGGGCTGCTCCAGCGCCCCAACCCCCGGGGGGGCTCCCCCAAACTCCCCCCCTCACCGAACCAGGTGATGTGCTTGTTCTCCCAGGCGCTGGTTTTCTTGTTGGGGCCGTCGGCGGCCCCACGGCACGGCGTCCTCCAGAAGGTGTTGACGTGGGCGCCCACGTGGAAATCGGCGCGCCGCAGCAGCCGCATCCCGCCGAAGCTTTCCTTGGCTGCCGGGGTGGGGGGACGGAGACGGTACGGCACCGATCCGGCGCCCGGTGAGCCCCCCCTGACCCCGCTGCCAGCCCCTTACCTTCAGGCAGGTACATGTACACCAGGAGGTTGCGGTCCCGGTCGGACACTGTGGGGAAGACGGAGGTTTGCTGGAGAGCCAAAAGTGCCAGCGTTGCCGGATCCCCTCCCAAAACCACCTCTAAACCCCATGCTACCCACGGGTGCGGGTCCGGCAGCGCCAGGAACAATGCGGCAACGCCGGGAACAACGCAGCAGCGCCGAGGACGTACCCAGGAATCCCAACTGGGTGCTGTCCACCATGAAGTCAACGCTGTACACCTCCAAGGGCTTCGCGTCCTGCGAGGAAACAACGCCGGCTGAGCCGCCGCTGCCGAGCCGCTGTGGCCCGCGGCGATGGGGGCGAGGGCGCCGGTCGTTACCCGGCTAACAAGGGAGAGGGTCTTGCTCTCCTCCTGGTATCGCAGCAGGGAGATGCTCTTCATCAGGTCGGCGGCCAGGATGAAGTTCTTGACGCTGATCATCTGGTGGATGTAGAGCTGGGTGTCGATGAAGGCCATCCCCGTCAGGTCGTTGTCCTTCAGGCTCCACAGGAAGATCTGCGAGGGGCAGAGGTGACGCCCCTGGCCCCACGGTGGTCCCTCATGCCCCCCCCAGGCCCCCTCCCCACCTTCTGGCCGATGGCCGAGACGAGGTAGCCGTTGCAGTGGCAGAGGGCGGTGACCGGACCCTTCTGCTCCTTCTCGTACAAGACTTTGAACTTGTTTTTGGTCAGGGGCTGCCCCGGCTCCGGCACCACCTCGATGATGTCCATGATCAGGATCTGGGCGAGGGGGACGCACATGGTTTTGGGGGGGGGGGGGACACGGACGACACGACAACACACAGGAGCTGGGACACCCCCCAAAACCCACCCGCAGCCCTTCGGAGGGCAGAGGCGTGGGGAGAGCCCTGCCTGTGCTGTGGGAATCCCTGGGTGTCCCCCGAGACCCCCGTGTGTCCCCTGAGCACCCTGGGCATCCCCCAAGACCCTCAGGTGTCCACCGAGACCCCTGGGCATCTCCCAAGACCCCTGTGTGTCCCCCAGGACCCCCAGGTGTCCACCGAGACCCCTGGGCATCTCCCAAGACCCCTG